TGCTGCTGATGATGCTGATGATGCTGATGATGATGATGCTGATGATGGTGGTGATGATGATACTGATGGTGATGATGATGGTGATGATGATGAGGCTGGTGATGATTGTGATGATTTGATGCTGATGATGGTAATGGTGCCCCTCTTCAAGGGCTGATCGAGCCGATCCGAAATTGATTTCGGCAGGCCCGATCCGGTTTGATTCCGATTTGCGGGCGATCGGACGCGGCTTGATGGTCGCATGGCTGTTTTGTCTATCCTGGCGCGGGGGGCTCGATTCGATTCTGATTTCGACTCTGTACTTATGCAGCCCGATCTGTTCCAGCCGATCAGGAGACTCGCTCGCTTTGGATCGCTTCGTCGGTGGATGTGCTTCGCTCTTGCCCCCTCTCCTCCTGTTCCTCCTCGTCGTCCTGTTCCTCCGCTTCCTTGGAGGCGAACCTATGTCAGGCAGTCTGCAGGCCTAGTTGCTGCTACATGCTTGTGGGGCGCGTTGGGCCAGTCTCTCCCCACGCTCTGCGGGGTGATATATATATATATATATATATATATATATATATCACTGTCCCTGCGCGCTGCGCTGATGCAGAAGACAACATAAAGTTCCTATTCCGTCCGCTTTCCTGATTCGATGATGACAGATCCCCCTTTCAAGCTCCATCAAGATATGAAACGACGCACAGGGTTGAGCGTTTCAGAGGAGCGACGCTCGTACTCGATGCCCAGGCGGCTCACCATCTCCAGGGAGCGAGGCCGAAAACGCTGCGGCAGGCGGGAGCCTCTTGACTCCGTGGTCAGGCACGCCTCCCAGTCGCCTTTCCTCCCCCTCCCCCTCGGCCTTCCTGCCCCTATGGGACAACAGCGACGAGGAGAAGGAGGACGTTGACAAGGAAGAGAAATGGGACGACGACGACGACCACGACGAGGAGGAGAACGACGAGGAGTAGGAGGAGGAGGAGGAGGAGGAGGAGGAGGAGGAGGAGGAGGAGGAGGAGGAGGAGGACGACGACAGCCACGACGACAACGACGACGAGAATATGGAGGACGACGCCGCCTCCTCTCTCTGCCCCTTGTCCTTTCACTCCAGGCGCTGCCCGCAGCGGTGCTCGCCTCGTCCTCCCTCTCCTTCTCTACCCACCCTCCGCCGCCTCCTCCCTCCTCCTCCTCCTCCGTATCCCCCCTCCTCCCTCCTCCCCCTCCTTCTCGACTCGATGCGGGCATCAGGGCTCGTCTCAACGCCCTTCTCCTCCTCCTCCTCCTCCTCCTCCTCCTCCTCCTTATCCTCATCCTCATCCTCATCCGCATCCTTATCCTCATCCTCATCCTCATCCTCATTCTTATCCTTATCCATCCATTCTTCCATCCATTCTTCCATCCATCCATCCCTCCCCCTCCTCCTCCCTCCGCAGCCTCCTCCTCCTCCCCATCCTTTTCCTCCTCCTCCTCCTGTTTCCGGGGGCTCGTCTCGGACCACAGCTGATTTCTGGGGCGCCAAGCAGTTTAAGGTTTTAATGTGCATGATTATAATTCGGAAGCTCCCACATGAAAAAGCTGTAATCTTACTAATTCGGACGTGCTAGAGCCCTACGTTGCCTTCTTTCTATGCTCGCAATGTTCCAAACTTTATCTCATGCTCCTCCTATTCTCTGCGACCTCCCCCATGCGGTCTCTGCTGAGTTTCGGCCCAGTGGCCCCCCCCCCTGCGGCCCGCGGCCCGCTGATGCAGCGCGCCGTCGAGCTGTTGGTGGAGGCGGGTGGCGCTGCGCTCTACCAAAGTCCGCGAGCCGCGCTCCTCGAGCGGCTCGCTGGCCAACCACTTCCCTTGACAGACCAGGCGGCCCCAGCCTTGGGCCTTCTTGGCCGTCTCGGGCGGCGGGCCTCGGAGCCGTGGCGGAGTGCCCTGCCTCCAGGGGATCCGCCTCCTGTCCCACCGTCTGCCTTGGGCTGGCGGTGGACCCGAGCAGCGGGGTCCCTCCTCTGCTGCTCGCGACGGTCCTCTCGCTCGTGGGAGTGACCGCTTGCTGCAGCTTCTGCGGGGGCTGCTGTCTCGCGGGCCTGGTGGTCCGGTCCGCCGCGCGGGCCCGTACCTGGCGCGCGTGTGCCGCACGCTGGGCGCGCCTGCCCTCGTGCCCGCAAAAGGGTACCTCCTCGGGCCTTGGCCTGCGGCCCTGGCCCCCTAGCCGCTTCGCGCGGCTCCTTGGCCGCGGGCCTTCGCCCCGCGTCGCCGCGGAGGGGCTAGTCCCTCGGGCCGGTCCTCGGGCCGCCCGTGCGCGTTCCGTCGCCACGGGCGCGCTGACGGTTCATCTGCGGACCCGGCGCGAGGTTCGGCGGAGAGAATTGCCCCACAACGCTGGAGACGATGGCTGCCGTGCCCCCGCTTCCAGAAGGCCCCGTGTGGCCCGAGCTGCACCCCTTCGAGACGCCGTCTGCGGCGGGCTATGCCAGATGGCGGCTCGACGAGGGCGACCTCGGCTTCGCCGCCATAC